AGTTATATAATAGTGTTATAAAACAAGGCTAAGGAAAGTTGTAAGAGCACAACAAGTTATTTGCTTACTTTTCAAAAAATATGTGTTCTGCATTTACTAAGTTTTGGTGCACGTTAGTTTGACTATAATTTTGTCCAATATATAGTTTTGGTGCAATTTAGTTTGGTTATAATGTTTTGTTATAATTTTGTTCTGCATATAGTTTTGGTGCAGTTTTGGTGCATGTTAGTTTGACTATAATTTTGTCCGGTGCATGTTAGTTTGACTATAATTTTGTCCGGTGCATGTTAGTTTGGCTATAATTTTGTTCGACATATAATTTTGATGCAATTTAATTTGGTTATAATTTTGTTCTGCATATAGTTTTGGTGCATATTAGTTTGGTTATATGTGCATATTAGTTTGGTTATAATATTATGAACAATTCTGAAAGCAACAACTATAACTTTTCAATTTCAAATAAAAGTCCGCGAGATTGAAACACTTTTTTAATAAGTTCTTCGAGAAGGTATATTTAGTTTATGAAAATTAAAACAAATAAAAGTATAAACTTTAAAGTGTACAATAATTAGTACCCATTAACTTTACATGGTAAAAGTCGCAGGGATACCGACTAGGTTAGTAAAATAAGTTGTATAATAGTATTATAAAACAAGGTTAAGGAATGTTGTAAGAGCTTAAAAAGTCCCAGGATATTTTTAAGTCCCACATTGACTATGTTAGTAAAATAAGTTATATAATAGTATAATAAAACAAGGTTAAGGAATGTTGTAAGAGTTGAAAAAGTCGCAGGTTATTTTTAAGTCCCACGTTGACTAGGTTAGTAAAATAAGTTATATAATAGTATTATAAAACAAGGTTAAGGAAGGTTGTAAGAGCATAACAAGTTATTTGCTTACTTTTCAAAGAATACGTGTTTTGCATTTACTAAGTTACTAAGAATACGTGTTCTGCATTTATTAAGTTTTGGTTTCGATATAATTTTGTATATAGTTTTGGTTTCGTTATAATTTTGTTCTGCATATAGTTTTGGTGTAGATTAGTTGAAGATTAGTTTGATTATAATATTATGAATAGTTCTCAAGTGAGAAAGTTGTGATGGTAAAAGTCCCCGAGATTGAAACACTTTTTTAATAAAAACAAATTATCTGAATTTTTAACAATAATTAGTACCCATTAATTTCACACAAAAGTTGTCATGGTGAAAGTCCCCAGGATATTTTTAAGTAAGTCCCACGTGACTAGGTTAGTGAAATGAACTATATAATAGTATTATAAAATAAGACTAAACATAAAAGTAGGTTACTAGATTAGTGAAATCACAAAAGTTGTCATGGTGAAAGTCCCCAGGATATTTTTAAGTAAGTCCCACATGACTAGGTTAGTAAAATGAGTTATATAATAGTATTATAAAATAAGACTAAACATAAAAGTACGTTACTAGGTTAGTGAAATGAGTTATATAATAGTATTATAAAATAAGACTAAGCACAAAAGTTGTGATGATAGGATATTTTTAAGTCCCACATAGATTAGTAAAATGAGTTATAGGTTTGAAGATTATGTAGAGCAAAACCAAAACGAAGTGAATAAGGGGAGTAAGGGGAAGGAATGTAGAGCAAAACTAAACCAAAACGAAGTGAGTAAGGGGAGTACCGAGAAGGTCAAAAGGAAGTGAGTAAGGGGAAGGAAGTGACATCCAATTAGTGGGGAAGGGGAAGAAATACCTAAGTTTTAAGAAAATATACATGTTCCTAAAGTAGTATTTAGTTTGGATTTCTTCTTTAAATAAAATTTTTATAATATAATTTATTATTAATAATATTTGTTATAAAAAAAATATAATAATAATAATTATTATCATGTTATAAGATATAATAAAAATTATAAATACAATATACAAGAGATATACACCATATTTAAACGGTGACACAAAATAATTATTATTAAAAATTAATAGGATTAATATAAAATAAAAAAATAAAAAAATATTATATATATTCAAATATAAATAACTGACAATATAACTTTTATTAAAAAAATTATATAATCTTTAAATTTATAATATATTATTATAATTGTAAACACCAAATACATAATAAAATAATAATAATAATAATAATTATTATTATTATTGTCAAAAAGATTATGTAATTGGTTAATTTTTAATTATGTTAATATCCAGCATTAATTAATATTATAATTTATAACCTTCAGCGTTAGATTCTGGTTTCGATTCAGGGGCCTATACGACATTTGCAAATATTATTATATGTTAACATTTTCGGTCTTTTTATTCTAACCTTCTGTAACACCTTTGGCTTTCTTTGGATGGAGTGATTTGAGAGAGTGGAAATGAGAGAGTGGAAAAGGAGAGATTTGAAGAGAAATGGAGATGAATGTAAAGTGAAAGGAAAGTTTATGGGAAATTGTGAATGATTTGATTGATATGAGATATAAAAATTATAATTTTATGTTGATTATTTAAGAAAACTACCATTTTACCCTTTGTATAAAATAAGGTTCAATTCAAATGATTATAATTTTGAGAATATATAATTTTGATAGAAAATTATATATATATATATATATATATATATATATATATATATATATATTCTAAAATATATATTCCACAATATTACTAAAATTTATATATATATATTATAGAAATGAAAATAAATTATATTTGAGAATATATAATTTTGATAGAAAATATATATATATATATATATATATATATATATATATATTCTAAAATATAATTTAACATTTTGAATTCCGAAAGGTTTTCTCTAATAACAAATTAAAAAACATAATATTCAAAAAAAATATTTTAAGATTCGAGTCTCGGGTTGTATTTCAGCTCGAGCGATTACACTCTCGCTCGAGCGAAATACCATCCTGATCGATCATAATTTGAAATGATCGATCATAATTGGAGGATATCATAGCGGTTCCCCTGTAACCGCTATTTAAAGTATATATTAGATAGCGGTTATGGTTTAACCGCTATTACAAGTTATATTTCAGCTGAGCGACATTAAACTCGCTCGAGCGAAGACACTGCACATAATTTTCATCCTCGGGTTGTTTTTCGCTTGAGCGAAACTGATCTCGCTCGAGCGACTAGCAAAGTATGATCTCGCTTCGATTTATTTTAATCGATTAAAACACGTTTTAATCGATTAAAACCACTTTGAAGTCAGGATGATCGATCAGAATGTAATTATGACCGATCAGAGTTGGTTATGATCGATCAGAATTGAATTATGACCGATCAGACTTATTTCAATCGATTAAAACAAATTTCAATCGATTAAAATGACTTGAAAATTTTTGTACGAGTTTCAATCGATTAAAACGGATTTCAATCGATTAAAATGACTTAGAAAAATTACATGCAGGTTTTTAATCGATTAAAACTTCTTTGTATCAGTTAAAATAACTTGAAAAGTGTTATAAGAAAGTTTTAAAGCTGAATCAATCGATTAAACCGCGAATCAATCGATTAAATCACTCTTAGAAAATGTTTGTAAAAAGTTTTAAGCTGATAAAAACTTGGTCGTATCGAGCTAAAACAATTCGTTAAAGAACAAGAACGCATTAATGGGTTGAAAGGACTTTTAACAGATTATAGCAGCTATTTCAACAGATTAAAACAAACTTTGAGCAGATTAATTAATGCAGTTTTTTCGAAAACTCTTTTATAAACGAAATTGCTTGGAACTTTTATCATATCAGTTTTTAAAAAAACAAAGCAATCAATTTAAGCAACTCGTTAGCATCCTTTTTCCAAGAAAGAATTACAACTGGAAGTTGGTTCTTGGTGGAAAGGTTGAGTGCAAGAACATGAACAACCTGGGAGAGACGAAGATGTCCCATATATCTGACTCGAATGTTGAAATGTTGATGATCGTCTCATCACATTAACTTGAGATAAAATAATTACAATATAATTTTCTACTTTGAGAATTAATAATATAATTAAACATCAAAATTGAGAATACTCTTATACATTTTGAACTCTTTTGGATAAATTTTGTTTCCCTAATTTTTGATAAAGTTAATTTTAATATTTACATTTATTATAAGCTCTATTATAAGCTCTATTATAAGCTCCCTTTAAGAATGGTTCTTAAAGTGTTCCATCAACTCCTCGCTGCTTCTCAATTCCTGATTGAATCAGTGCTGTAGTCGGATTAAAGAAAGTAGAGTCGGATGTTATCGCCTTTGCCCCCACGCCAACTTGCTCTCTAATCCCACTGCGATTGGATTGAACCAAGAAAGCGGAGCTTAGGTAGGCTACAACAACTCTCAAAGCGTTAGCTCATAAGCCGTATTTCGCTCGAGCGACTATATCTCGCTCGAGCGAAATACGATCCTGATCGATCATAAGTTAAAATGATCGATCATAATCGGAGGATATAATAGCGGTTCCTCATGAATCGCTATCTAAAGTGTATATTAGATAGCGGTTCCAGGTGGAACCGCTATCATATACAATCATATTTTAATTTCTTGAGTCTCGGGTTGTGTTTCAGCTTGAGCGACTATATCTCGCTCGAGCGAAATATGATTCTGATCGATTAGATTTACGAAATGATCGATCATAATTGGAGGATCTAATAGCGGTTCCCTGTAACCGCTATGTAAAGTGATATATAATAGCTATTAAGATTTAACCGCTATTAGAAGTGATATATAATAGCGGTTATGTTTTAACCGCTATTAGAAGTGATATATAATAGCGGTTAAGATTTAACCGCTATCATATATTGCAGGGTAATTGCGACTTTTCATTACTTTCATCTCTTTTCTTCGCACATCAGCGAAGAATCTCTCTCTTCTCCCTTTTTCCTCGCCTGCATTTCGTCGTAAATCAGTTCAACCAAACGTGTGGAAATGTCGTGTTTCTGTCTTCGTGAATAGTATTTTGTCTTCGTGAATAGTATTTAGTCGCAAATAAGTTCACACAAACACAACATTAATGTCGCGATATGCGGAACCGCATCGTCACATTATCCATCGGTAATTTATCACTCCATCAGCGTCGTTTCTTCGATCATTTCATTTCCAACGACTTATACCACCGACCATTTTCTCATCCTCCGAAGCCCTACAAAGTAAAGAAGAGAAAGAAGAATTCAAGAAACGGAGCTCCGAAAATAACCGAAGCCCCAACAGTTCCCTTTCAGTCGAACCTTCCATTCGATTTCAGATACTCTTATTCGGAGACCCACCCTTTCGTTGAGCCCATAAGCTTCCGTGAATCAACCAAGTTCTCCCCGTTTGGGCCGGGCCGACTCGACCGGACATGGACCGGCGTTTCTGCTCCCGTTCGGACTGAACCGGACTGGAAGAGAATGGAGGAGGAGCGTAACCGGGTTCTCGGAGCGCCGCTCAATGAGGATGAGGTAGCAGAGCTCGTCGAACGCTACCGTCACAGTGACTGTGTCAGACAAATCAATTTAGGTGTTGTTAATATTCTCAACTATTTTCAGTTTTTCATGAGAAAATAATTAAATAAAATAAAATAATTTTCTTTATTGTTATTTTTATCAATTTTAATGGTTGTTCCCGTTATTTGTACTTCTGTTTAGTACACTGCTTGTGTAAATGCTTGAAGTAGAAGCTTATTTTTTAAAATAATTTTAACAAAAAAGTCAATAATTTTATTACTCATGATTAGATGATGGTTTGGAAAATACGAAGAGTAGTCACACAATTTCTAATGTGGTAGATGGTTCTTTTGGTCCTAAATGTGTAAACTAGTGACAATTTATACTATGAAAAATAAAATAAATTTTGATTTAGTTTCTCGATTTGTGCGAAATACCACAGTTATGACATGTTAAGTTTTATGAAGTTATTTTGTTGTGTTTTAATGTTGAAGTATCAATTTAAAAGTAATATCGTGTTTTTTAGGATCATTTGATACTGAGTTGAAAAGTTCATAATGCAATTTGTCACTAAGTTCAGAAATATGATAAAGTTCATTTGATACTGATAGAAAAATATGGAATTTAGCTGTTGTTTTTATTAATGGCTAAAATTGTGATGAAACTTTTTTTTTTTACCGGTTGTGTTGAGCTTTAAAATTATATGTAAATCTGTACTAAATTACAAAGCTGTCAACATAAAATCCAGAAAAAAACTTCATATTTGATTTGTGGTAGTTTTAAATAATAAGTATACCAGATTTGTGGTTGCACCATGTTAATGACGTTGGTAGTCAGGGTTATTGGGTTTGAGTGATAATGGAGGAGTGTAAAAGAATGACGAGGAGGAAGAACTTCTACGTAAATGTTTAACTTCAACCTTAAATAGTTTATGAACATAAAAAAACTAGGTCAAACACTACCTGAGTGTTATAACTCTTCACTGGTCTATCTAAAGAGCAGTTAAAGAAGATAATTATGTATATAAATCAATGAGTTGGTATGTGTTGTGCTAGGAAAGGGTGGAGTCACTCACAACATGTTGGATGACATCCATAACCACTGGAAGAAGGCTGAAGCTGTGAGAATTAAGTGCTTGGGTGTGCCAACCCTCGACATGGACCATGTTTGCTTCCACCTTGAGGTCCATACTGAGTTGAAAAGTTCATAATGCAATTTGTCACTAAGTTCAGAAATATGATAAAGTTCATTTGATACTGATAGAAAAATATGGAATTTAGCTGTTGTTTTTATTAATGGCTAAAATTGTGATGAAACTTTTTTTTTTTACCGGTTGTGTTGAGCTTTAAAATTATATGTAAATCTGTACTAAATTACAAAGCTGTCAACATAAAATCCAGAAAAAAACTTCATATTTGATTTGTGGTAGTTTTAAATAATAAGTATACCAGATTTGTGGTTGCACCATGTTAATGACGTTGGTAGTCAGGGTTATTGGGTTTGAGTGATAATGGAGGAGTGTAAAAGAATGACGAGGAGGAAGAACTTCTACGTAAATGTTTAACTTCAACCTTAAATAGTTTATGAACATAAAAAAACTAGGTCAAACACTACCACGAGTGTTATAACTCTTCACTGGTCTATCTAAAGAGCGGTTAAAGAAGATAATTATGTATATAAATCAATGAGTTGGTATGTGTTGTGCTAGGAAAGGGTGGAGTCACTCACAACATGTTGGATGACATCCATAACCACTCGGAAGAAGGTCTGAAGCTGTGAGAATTAAGTGCTTGGGTGTGCCAACCCTCGACATGGACCATGTTTGCTTCCACCTTGAGGTCCATACTGAGTTGAAAAGTTCATAATGCAATTTGTCACTAAGTTCAGAAATATGATAAAGTTCATTTGATACTGATAGAAAAATATGGAATTTAGCTCGTTGTTTTTATTAATGGCTAAAATTGTGATGAAACTTTTTTTTTTACCGGTTGTGTTGAGCTTTAAAATTATATGTAAATCTGTACTAAATTACAAAGTCTGTCAACATAAAATCCAGAAAAAAACTTCATATTTGATTTGTGGTAGTTTTAAATAATAAGTATACCAGATTTGTGGTTGCACCATGTTAATGACGTTGGTAGTCGGGGTTATTGGGTTTGAGTGATAATGGAGGAGTGTAAAAGAATGACGAGGAGGAAGAACTTCTACGTAAATGTTTAACTTCAACCTTAAATAGTTTATGAACATAAAAAAACTAGGTCAAACACTACCCGAGTGTTATAACTCTTCACTGGTCTATCTAAAGAGCGAGTTAAAGAAGATAATTATGTATATAAATCAATGAGTTGGTATGTGTTGTGCTAGGAAAGGGTGGAGTCACTCACAACATGTTGGATGACATCCATAACCACTTGGAAGAAGGTCTGAAGCTGTGAGAATTAAGTGCTTGGGTGTGCCAACCCTCGACATGGACCATGTTTGCTTCCACCTTGAGGTCCATACTGAGTTGAAAAGTTCATAATGCAATTTGTCACTAAGTTCAGAAATATGATAAAGTTCATTTGATACTGATAGAAAAATATGGAATTTAGCTGTTGTTTTTATTAATGGCTAAAATTGTGATGAAACTTTTTTTTTTTACCGGTTGTGTTGAGCTTTAAAATTATATGTAAATCTGTACTAAATTACAAAGCTCGTCAACATAAAATCCGAAAAAAACTTCATATTTGATTTGTGGTAGTTTTAAATAATAAGTATACCAGATTTGTGGTTGCACCATGTTAATGACGTTGGTAGTCGGGGTTATTGGGTTTGAGTGATAATGGAGGAGTGTAAAAGAATGACGAGGAGGAAGAACTTCTACGTAAATGTTTAACTTCAACCTTAAATAGTTTATGAACATAAAAAAACTAGGTCAAACACTACCTGAGTGTTATAACTCTTCACTGGTCTATCTAAAGAGCGAGTTAAAGAAGATAATTATGTATATAAATCAATGAGTTGGTATGTGTTGTGCTAGGAAAGGGTGGAGTCACTCACAACATGTTGGATGACATCCATAACCACTGGAAGAAGGTCTGAAGCTGTGAGAATTAAGTGCTTGGGTGTGCCAACCCTCGACATGGACCATGTTTGCTTCCACCTTGAGGTCCATACTGAGTTGAAAAGTTCATAATGCAATTTGTCACTAAGTTCAGAAATATGATAAAGTTCATTTGATATCTGATAGAAAAATATGGAATTTAGCTTGTTGTTTTTATTAATGGCTAAAATTGTGATGAAACTTTTTTTTACCGGTTGTGTTGAGCTTTAAAATTATATGTAAATCTGTACTAAATTACAAAGTCTATCAACATAAAATCCAGAAAAAAACTTCATATTTGATTTGTGGTAGTTTTAAATAATAAGTATACAGATTTGTGGTTGCACCATGTTAATGACGTTGGTAGTCGGGGTTATTGGGTTTGAGTGATAATGGAGGAGTGTAAAAGAATGACGAGGAGGAAGAACTTCTACGTAAATGTTTAACTTCAACCTTAAATAGTTTATGAACATAAAAAAACTAGGTCAAACACTACCCGAGTGTTATAACTCTTCACTGGTCTATCTAAAGAGCGAGTTAAAGAAGATAATTATGTATATAAATCAATGAGTTGGTATGTGTTGTGCTAGGAAAGGGTGGAGTCACTCACAGACATGTTGGATGACATCCATAACCACTTGGAAGAAGGTTGAAGCTGTGAGAATTAAGTGCTTGGGTGTGCCAACCCTCGACATGGACCATGTTTGCTTCCACCTTGAGGTCCATACTGAGTTGAAAAGTTCATAATGCAATTTGTCACTAAGTTCAGAAATATGATAAAGTTCATTTGATACTGATAGAAAAATATGGAATTTAGCTGTTGTTTTTATTAATGGCTAAAATTGTGATGAAACTTTTTTTTTTACCGGTTGTGTTGAGCTTTAAAATTATATGTAAATCTGTACTAAATTACAAAGTCATCAACATAAAATCCAGAAAAAACTTCATATTTGATTTGTGGTAGTTTTAAATAATAAGTATACCAGATTTGTGGTTGCACCATGTTAATGACGTTGGTAGTCGGGGTTATTGGGTTTGAGTGATAATGGAGGAGTGTAAAAGAATGACGAGGAGGAAGAACTTCTACGTAAATGTTTAACTTCAACCTTAAATAGTTTATGAACATAAAAAAACTAGGTCAAACACTACCTGAGTGTTATAACTCTTCACTGGTCTATCTAAAGAGCGGTTAAAGAAGATAATTATGTATATAAATCAATGAGTTGGTATGTGTTGTGCTAGGAAAGGGTGGAGTCACTCACAACATGTTGGATGACATCCATAACCACTGGAAGAAGGTCGAAGCTGTGAGAATTAAGTGCTTGGGTGTGCCAACCCTCGACATGGACCATGTTTGCTTCCACCTTGAGGTCCATCCGAGTTGAAAAGTTCATAATGCAATTTGTCACTAAGTTCGAAATATGATAAAGTTCATTTGATACTGATAGAAAAATATGGAATTTAGTCTGTTGTTTTTATTAATGGCTAAAATTGTGATGAAACTTTTTTTTTTACCGGTTGTGTTGAGCTTTAAAATTATATGTAAATCTGTACTAAATTACAAAGTCTGTCAACATAAAATCCGAAAAAAACTTCATATTTGATTTGTGGTAGTTTTAAATAATAAGTATACCGGATTTGTGGTTGCACCATGTTAATGACGTTGGTAGTCGGGGTTATTGGGTTTGAGTGATAATGGAGGAGTGTAAAAGAATGACGAGGAGGAAGAACTTCTACGTAAATGTTTAACTTCAACCTTAAATAGTTTATGAACATAAAAAAACTAGGTCAAACACTACTCGAGTGTTATAACTCTTCACCTGGTCTATCTAAAGAGCGAGTTAAAGAAGATAATTATGTATATAAATCAATGAGTTGGTATGTGTTGTGCTAGGAAAGGGTGGAGTCACTCACAACATGTTGGATGACATCCATAACCACTGGAAGAAGGCTGAAGCTGTGAGAATTAAGTGCTTGGGTGTGCCAACCCTCGACATGGACCATGTTTGCTTCCACCTTGAGGTCCATACTGAGTTGAAAAGTTCATAATGCAATTTGTCACTAAGTTCAGAAATATGATAAAGTTCATTTGATACTGATAGAAAAATATGGAATTTAGTCGTTGTTTTTATTAATGGCTAAAATTGTGATGAAACTTTTTTTTTACCGGTTGTGTTGAGCTTTAAAATTATATGTAAATCTGTACTAAATTACAAAGCTCGTCAACATAAAATCCGAAAAAAACTTCATATTTGATTTGTGGTAGTTTTAAATAATAAGTATACCGGATTTGTGGTTGCACCATGTTAATGACGTTGGTAGTCGGGGTTATTGGGTTTGAGTGATAATGGAGGAGTGTAAAAGAATGACGAGGAGGAAGAACTTCTACGTAAATGTTTAACTTCAACCTTAAATAGTTTATGAACATAAAAAAACTAGGTCAAACACTACCTGAGTGTTATAACTCTTCACCTGGTCTATCTAAAGAGCGAGTTAAAGAAGATAATTATGTATATAAATCAATGAGTTGGTATGTGTTGTGCTAGGAAAGGGTGGAGTCACTCACAACATGTTGGATGACATCCATAACCATCGGAAGAAGGTCGAAGTCTGTGAGAATTAAGTGCTTGGGTGTGCCAACCCTCGACATGGACCATGTTTGCTTCCACCTTGAGGTCCATACCGAGTTGAAAAGTTCATAATGCAATTTGTCACTAAGTTCGAAATATGATAAAGTTCATTTGATACTGATAGAAAAATATGGAATTTAGGCTGTTGTTTTTATTAATGGCTAAAATTGTGATGAAACTTTTTTTTTACCGGTTGTGTTGAGCTTTAAAATTATATGTAAATCTGTACTAAATTACAAAGCTCATCAACATAAAATCCGAAAAAAACTTCATATTTGATTTGTGGTAGTTTTAAATAATAAGTATACCAGATTTGTGGTTGCACCATGTTAATGACGTTGGTAGTCGGGGTTATTGGGTTTGAGTGATAATGGAGGAGTGTAAAAGAATGACGAGGAGGAAGAACTTCTACGTAAATGTTTAACTTCAACCTTAAATAGTTTATGAACATAAAAAAACTAGGTCAAACACTACCTGAGTGTTATAACTCTTCACTGGTCTATCTAAAGAGCGATTAAAGAAGATAATTATGTATATAAATCAATGAGTTGGTATGTGTTGTGCTAGGAAAGGGTGGAGTCACTCACAACATGTTGGATGACATCCATAACCACTGGAAGAAGGTCTGAAGCTGTGAGAATTAAGTGCTTGGGTGTGCCAACCCTCGACATGGACCATGTTTGCTTCCACCTTGAGGTCCATCCTGAGTTGAAAAGTTCATAATGCAATTTGTCACTAAGTTCGAAATATGATAAAGTTCATTTGATACTTGATAGAAAAATATGGAATTTAGCTGTTGTTTTTATTAATGGCTAAAATTGTGATGAAACTTTTTTTTTACCGATTGTGTTGAGCTTTAAAATTATATGTAAATCTGTACTAAATTACAAAGTCTATCAACATAAAATCCAGAAAAAAACTTCATATTTGATTTGTGGTAGTTTTAAATAATAAGTATACAGATTTGTGGTTGCACCATGTTAATGACGTTGGTAGTCGGGGTTATTGGGTTTGAGTGATAATGGAGGAGTGTAAAAGAATGACGAGGAGGAAGAACTTCTACGTAAATGTTTAACTTCAACCTTAAATAGTTTATGAACATAAAAAAACTAGGTCAAACACTACCTGAGTGTTATAACTCTTCACTGGTCTATCTAAAGAGCGGTTAAAGAAGATAATTATGTATATAAATCAATGAGTTGGTATGTGTTGTGCTAGGAAAGGGTGGAGTCACTCACAACATGTTGGATGACATCCATAACCACTTGGAAGAAGGTCGAAGTCTGTGAGAATTAAGTGCTTGGGTGTGCCAACCCTCGACATGGACCATGTTTGCTTCCACCTTGAGGTCCATACTGAGTTGAAAAGTTCATAATGCAATTTGTCACTAAGTTCGAAAATATGATAAAGTTCATTTGATACTGATAGAAAAATATGGAATTTAGTCGTTGTTTTTATTAATGGCTAAAATTGTGATGAAACTTTTTTTTTTACCGGTTGTGTTGAGCTTTAAAATTATATGTAAATCTGTACTAAATTACAAAGTCATCAACATAAAATCCGAAAAAAACTTCATATTTGATTTGTGGTAGTTTTAAATAATAAGTATACCAGATTTGTGGTTGCACCATGTTAATGACGTTGGTAGTCGTGGGTTATTGGGTTTGAGTGATAATGGAGGAGTGTAAAAGAATGGCGAGGAGGAAGAACTTCTACGTAAATGTTTAACTTCAACCTTAAATAGTTTATGAACATAAAAAAACTAGGTCAAACACTACCTGAGTGTTATAACTCTTCAACTGGTCTATCTAAAGAGCGAGTTAAAGAAGATAATTATGTATATAAATCAATGAGTTGGTATGTGTTGTGCTAGGAAAGGGTGGAGTCACTCACAACATGTTGGATGACATCCATAACCACTCGGAAGAAGGTTGAAGCTGTGAGAATTAAGTGCTTGGGTGTGCCAACCCTCGACATGGACCATGTTTGCTTCCACCTTGAGGTCCATACCTGAGTTGAAAAGTTCATAATGCAATTTGTCACTAAGTTCAGAAATATGATAAAGTTCATTTGATACTCGATAGAAAAATATGGAATTTAGTCATTGTTTTTATTAATGGCTAAAATTGTGATGAAACTTTTTTTTTTACCGGTTGTGTTGAGCTTTAAAATTATATGTAAATCTGTACTAAATTACAAAGCCATCAACATAAAATCCAGAAAAAAACTTCATATTTGATTTGTGGTAGTTTTAAATAATAAGTATACCGATTTGTGGTTGCACCATGTTAATGACGTTGGTAGTCGTGGTTATTGGGTTTGAGTGATAATGGAGGAGTGTAAAAGAATGACGAGGAGGAAGAACTTCTACGTAAATGTTTAACTTCAACCTTAAATAGTTTATGAACATAAAAAAACTAGGTCAAACACTACCCGAGTGTTATAACTCTTCACTGGTCTATCTAAAGAGCAGCTTAAAGAAGATAATTATGTATATAAATCAATGAGTTGGTATGTGTTGTGCTAGGAAAGGGTGGAGTCACTCACAACATGTTGGATGACATCCATAACCACCGGAAGAAGGTCTGAAGCTGTGAGAATTAAGTGCTTGGGTGTGCCAACCCTCGACATGGACCATGTTTGCTTCCACCTTGAGGTCCATACTCGAGTTGAAAAGTTCATAATGCAATTTGTCACTAAGTTCGGAAATATGATAAAGTTCATTTGATACTCGATAGAAAAATATGGAATTTAGCTGTTGTTTTTATTAATGGCTAAAATTGTGATGAAACTTTTTTTTTTACCGGTTGTGTTGAGCTTTAAAATTATATGTAAATCTGTACTAAATTACAAAGTCATCAACATAAAATCCAGAAAAAAACTTCATATTTGATTTGTGGTAGTTTTAAATAATAAGTATACCAGATTTGTGGTTGCACCATGTTAATGACGTTGGTAGTCGGGGTTATTGGGTTTGAGTGATAATGGAGGAGTGTAAAAGAATGACGAGGAGGAAGAACTTCTACGTAAATGTTTAACTTCAACCTTAAATAGTTTATGAACATAAAAAAACTAGGTCAAACACTACCTGAGTGTTATAACTCTTCACTGGTCTATCTAAAGAGCGGTTAAAGAAGATAATTATGTATATAAATCAATGAGTTGGTATGTGTTGTGCTAGGAAAGGGTGGAGTCACTCACGACATGTTGGATGACATCCATAACCACTCGGAAGAAGGTTGAAGCTTGTGAGAATTAAGTGCTTGGGTGTGCCAACCCTCGACATGGACCATGTTTGCTTCCACCTTGAGGTCCATACTGAGTTGAAAAGTTCATAATGCAATTTGTCACTAAGTTCGAAATATGATAAAGTTCATTTGATATCGATAGAAAAATATGGAATTTAGTTGTTGTTTTTATTAATGGCTAAAATTGTGATGAAACTTTTTTTTTTACCGGTTGTGTTGAGCTTTAAAATTATATGTAAATCGTACTAAATTACAAAGCTCGTCAACATAAAATCCAGAAAAAAACTTCATATTTGATTTGTGGTAGTTTTAAATAATAAGTATACTGGATTTGTGGTTGCACCATGTTAATGACGTTGGTAGTCGGGGTTATTGGGTTTGAGTGATAATGGAGGAGTGTAAAAGAATGACGAGGAGGAAGAACTTCTACGTAAATGTTTAACTTCAACCTTAAATAGTTTATGAACATAAAAAAACTAGGTCAAACACTACCTGAGTGTTATAACTCTTCACTGGTCTATCTAAAGAGCAGTTAAAGAAGATAATTATGTATATAAATCAATGAGTTGGTATGTGTTGTGCTAGGAAAGGGTGGAGTCACTCACAACATGTTGGATGACATCCATAACCACTGGAAGAAGGCTGAAGCTGTGAGAATTAAGTGCTTGGGTGTGCCAACCCTCGACATGGACCATGTTTGCTTCCACCTTGAGGTCCATACTGAGTTGAAAAGTTCATAATGCAATTTGTCACTAAGTTCAGAAATATGATAAAGTTCATTTGATACTGATAGAAAAATATGGAATTTAGCTGTTGTTTTTATTAATGGCTAAAATTGTGATGAAACTTTTTTTTTTACCGGTTGTGTTGAGCTTTAAAATTATATGTAAATCTGTACTAAATTACAAAGTCATCAACATAAAATCTAGAAAAAAACTTCATATTTGATTTGTGGTAGTTTTAAATAATAAGTATACCAGATTTGTGGTTGCACCATGTTAATGACGTTGGTAGTCAGGGTTATTGGGTTTGAGTGATAATGGAGGAGTGTAAAAGAATGACGAGGAGGAAGAACTTCTACGTAAATGTTTAACTTCAACCTTAAATAGTTTATGAACATAAAAAAACTAGGTCAAACACTACCTGAGTGTTATAACTCTTCATCGGTCTATCTAAAGAGCGGTTAAAGAAGATAATTATGTATATAAATCAATGAGTTGGTATGTGTTGTGCTAGGAAAGGGTGGAGTCACTCACAACATGTTGGATGACATCCATAACCACTGGAAGAAGGCTGAAGCTGTGAGAATTAAGTGCTTGGGTGTGCCAACCCTCGACATGGACCATGTTTGCTTCCACCTTGAGGTCCATACTCGAGTTGAAAAGTTCATAATGCAATTTGTCACTAAGTTCGAAAATATGATAAAGTTCATTTGATACTTGATAGAAAAATATGGAATTTAGCTCGTTGTTTTTATTAATGGCTAAAATTGTGATGAAACTTTTTTTTTTACCTGTTGTGTTGAGCTTTAAAATTATATGTAAATCTGTACTAAATTACAAAGTCTGTCAACATAAAATCCAGAAAAAAACTTCATATTTGATTTGTGGTAGTTTTAAATAATAAGTATACAGATTTGTGGTTGCACCATGTTAATGACGTTGGTAGTCGGGGTTATTGGGTTTGAGTGATAATGGAGGAGTGTAAAAGAATGACGAGGAGGAAGAACTTCTACGTAAATGTTTAACTTCAACCTTAAATAGTTTATGAACATAAAAAAACTAGGTCAAACACTACCCGAGTGTTATAACTCTTCACTGGTCTATCTAAAGAGCAGTTAAAGAAGATAATTATGTATATAAATCAATGAGTTGGTATGTGTTGTGCTAGGAAAGGGTGGAGTCACTCACAACATGTTGGATGACATCCATAACCACTTGGAAGAAGGTTGAAGCTGTGAGAATTAAGTGCTTGGGTGTGCCAACCCTCGACATGGACCATGTTTGCTTCCACCTTGAGGTCCATACCTGAGTTGAAAAGTTCATAATGCAATTTGTCACTAAGTTCGGAAATATGATAAAGTTCATTTGATACTCGATAGAAAAATATGGAATTTAGCTGTTGTTTTTATTAATGGCTAAAATTGTGATGAAACTTTTTTTTTTACCGGTTGTGTTGAGCTTTAAAATTATATGTAAATCTGTACTAAATTACAAAGTCTGTCAACATAAAATCCGAAAAAAACTTCATATTTGATTTGTGGTAGTTTTAAATAATAAGTATACCAGATTTGTGGTTGCACCATGTTAATGACGTTGGTAGTCGGGGTTATTGGGTTTGAGTGATAATGGAGGAGTGTAAAAGAATGACGAGGAGGAAGAACTTCTACGTAAATGTTTAACTTCAACCTTAAATAGTTTATGAACATAAAAAAACTAGGTCAAACACTACCCGAGTGTTATAACTCTTCACCTGGTCTATCTAAAGAGCGGTTAAAGAAGATAATTATGTATATAAATCAATGAGTTGGTATGTGTTGTGCTAGGAAAGGGTGGAGTCACTCACAACATGTTGGATGACATCCATAACCACTTGGAAGAAGGTCTGAAGCCTGTGAGAATTAAGTGCTTGGGTGTGCCAACCCTCGACATGGACCATGTTTGCTTCCACCTTGAGGTCCATACTCGAGTTGAAAAGTTCATAATGCAATTTGTCACTAAGTTCAGAAATATGATAAAGTTCATTTGATACTGATAGAAAAATATGGAATTTAGCTGTTGTTTTTATTAATGGCTAAAATTGTGATGAAACTTTTTTTTTACCGGTTGTGTTGAGCTTTAAAATTATATGTAAATCTGTACTAAATTACAAAGCTGTCAACATAAAATCCAGAAAAAAACTTCATATTTGATTTGTGGTAGTTTTAAATAATAAGTATACCAGATTTGTGGTTGCACCATGTTAATGACGTTGGTAGTCAGGGTTATTGGGTTTGAGTGATAATGGAGGAGTGTAAAAGAATGACGAGGAGGAAGAACTTCTACGTAAATGTTTAACTTCAACCTTAAATAGTTTATGAACATAAAAAAACTAGGTCAAACACTACCTGAGTGTTATAACTCTTCACTGGTCTATCTAAAGAGCAGTTAAAGAAGATAATTATGTATATAAATCAATGAGTTGGTATGTGTTGTGCTAGGAAAGGGTGGAGTCACTCACAACATGTTGGATGACATCCATAACCACTGGAAGAAGGCTGAAGCTGTGAGAATTAAGTGCTTGGGTGTGCCAACCCTCGACATGGACCATGTTTGCTTCCACCTTGAGGTCCATATTGTTGTTTTGCACCTTTAATGGATTGATCATTCTTCAGACTCTCTGAATGCATTTCTTTTCCCCTGACGTGTGTATTGCTGTTTCCACAGGACAAGTCATATGGGAAAGTTATCTACTGCAACATTAATATACTGCTTCTGTACAGAGGACGAAATTATGATCCCAAAAACCGTCCAGTTATTCCTCTCATGCTGTGGAAGCCTTATGCACCAATATAGCCTAAGCTTGTGAAGAATGTAAACGAGGGTTTGACATATGAGGAAACAAAAGAAATGAGAAACATCGTATTGAACTCAGATCCTCTCATGAAACTCAGTAAGTGAATTTGGGTAGTAGGGCTCACCACAGATTGCGTTTTGGTCCTAATCAGCTTAAAGTAGCATTGGTTGGTACATATGCTAATTTGTGATTTCAATATTCAGCTAGAAATGGTGTGTATGTGAATGTGGTGGAGAGGTTGAGGGAGGCTTTTAAGACTCAGGAGGTTGTTAGACTGGACTGCACCCATGTGGGAACCAGTGACTGCAAAAAGATTGGAGTGAAGCTAAGGGTATGTCTAATGTCTAATTGTCTATAGAATCATTATAAAATTCACTGTTTTCTTTTTTTCTGTCTTTATGTTGAAGATCAAAATTGCATGTGGAGATTAATAGGGTTCTTATTATTGCAGGATTTAGTGCCATGTGTTCCTATCTTGTTTAAGGATGAGCATATAATCCTTTGGAGAGGAAAGTTGAATGAGCACCCTTCAGATTCACATGTCAGCAAGTAATACAAAGTTTATCTTCATTGTTATTTGCAATTACACTAAGGTACCTTTTCTTTGACTGAAGGGTTTGGTTTGGAATAAGATTTTTAGTCACATTTGTGTTCATCAAAGTCCCATGTCTGCAGGGGAAAATGCACTGATTCACGACTGAAATCCCCAAATCAACTGCAACATCTTTGTAAACCCGATGGAAAAGTAAGAAATCATGTTTTCTTTATAATAAATTATAATAATTTTTTTGAAATTGACTTTCATTTCTTATATTTTATCATTTAAATATAATTTAATCTTTATATGTACTCTGCTAATTTTCTTATAATTTACTTTTATCTTTTATTTTTATCCTTGATTTCTATAAATCTTAACTTTCATTATTAGCAGCGTATTCCGGCAAATGATTATGCTTGGCAATAAAATGTTTGTTATTTATACTAACACTAATACTCTCTTTGTTGCAATCGGTCCCCATAATACAATGGATTTTATTAAAATTAGCTTAACCAAGCTCAATGTTAACTACCTAAGCTTCATTCCTATAATATTTCTTCTCTCTCGTCTCCTTGATTAGCTCTAGTACCGGTATCTTCTTCCTCGATTAGCATTATCTTTAGATGCTTATTCTTATGCGCATAGGGTAGGGAAAGTTAAACGTACACCTTTCCTTCTTTCATGATATTCCATGCCCAATTGAAATTTGGTTTCTTCCTAGTTTTCCCCATTGCTTGTTGTATTCTCTTTTGTCCCACTGCTAAATGTGGAGGCTCTATTGCTTCCCCAAGACTCTACTCTTTCCTGCGTTATTCTTCCTTTCCTCCTCTTCCAGTACTCCCTCTAACAAAACTATTGGTGCATTTTTCAACGCATCCAGATACATCATCTGATATATATAATTATCTAAACATGTTAAACAGTGTGAAAGCATGTTAAGATCTACATAAAAAGAACGCTGGTGCTAAATATGTTTCAAAGCACTAACCTCCAACCATGAAGAATGGCATATCCTTAGTTTTTGGTTTTTCCAAGCTCTCACTTCACTGTAGATGGTGTATCAGATTTTGAGTGTGAAGCTTAGGACTTTTTATAGACATCTTGTAGGTATTCTACCTTAAAAAATGCATTTAGTAGCCATTATCACCACGATGGTCATTGAAATTTTAACCTTATGACTTCAAAATGTTTAAACCACTAAATAGGATTAATCACAGATTTATTACCTTTTAGTAATTATAAAAAACCCGTTATCATCTTTAATTTTCTATTTATATGTTGAGATCTTGTTTTCATAAAGGAAAAGAAACAAATATAGGTGAGTGTTTGTGTTAGGAACCAAGAATAGAAATGGGAAAGTAAAGAAAGACTTTGTGTCACTAACTCACTCTAACTAAAAATTCTAATTTCTAACTATACTAGCTCTTCCCTTTCCCAGCCTCAGTGTGCGTGAATAGTCTATTATTTTATGTGAAACTCATGTTTATGTTACTGCTAGCTCTGTCAAACATGAGAGTGATTAATAAGGAATGCTTAGATATGCATAAACAAGATCAATTTTCTTCCTTGTGATATATGATTGTAGGCGACGTACAGGGAGCGTATCAAATAAAAGTAACTACAAGTGCCCTGGCCTTGTTGCTAACCAGTAGGCACAATGAATTGGAAAAAATACATGTCCAAGGTCATCTGATTAAGGTATTACTGTTGTATGATTTACCTATTTGCTCTTTTTCTTCTTGCCACTCCCTACCAAGGTAATTCTTTTTTAGTATCTATGGTGCCTTTACTTATGGAGGATATCTAACCATCTCTAGAGGTTCGTTATTGGCATGTGTTCTAAGTCAAATTGTATTAAGAATTGACAAAATTGCCTATGTTTTACGGGTCAATGTCTGAACAAAAATTATGATCCTGCTACAACAGAACAGATCTAGGTATAGGCCAGAGGATCAATACTGATAGATGTTAGTTATAACTGTTCGACAGTTATAACTGACAAACAGGAGCGCAATCAAACTTATTAAAGAATATACAAGGGAAATATCTCTAACACCTCCACAAGCTCAAGGTAGGTGAGGGACTACTGGTTAATAAGCCAACTTAAGCTTGGTCCTGATAAATAAAAATATAGTTGGATAAAGGAGTATAGTTCAGGCCAGGGGTTTGCTGCACAATCAATTGCTTAAATAGACCCATTTCTCTAACATAGAAAATATCTAGTCTGGGCAAGCAAAATAGGGTTGTGGGGGAGATTCACTGCACTGAAATTATCACACTAACAGAGTGTGGTGAGGAATAGCTAGCTTAGTAAGTAATGTCTGAATGCAAAGAAGGTTAGTAGTTGTAGAAGCAAGGCTGTGATATTAAGCTGTTGTGCTTGATCTGCTGGCCACAGCAGTTTGTTTACGATCACTGAGATAGGCTAAATATGGAACAAGGTAGATGGTAGCACCAGAAATAGATTTGCGGTCATCAGAGTCAGCTTCCCAATCAACATCATAGAAGACTGTAAGATATAGTGGTTGATGAGGATCAGCTGGAGCAATCTATAAGCCACAATGTAGATTGTCCTTAACATATCTTAGGATTCTCTTTTGGCAGCAACCCAATGAGACTCAAGTGGGGAAGACACAAACTGATAGACTCTGTTCACGTAGAGATCATTACATACTGAAGCACACCAACAACTGACCTGTAGAAGGATGGATTGGGTAGTAAAACTATATCTTGGTTTGAAAATCCAGAAACTGTAGAAGAGAGTTTTTGTTTCAAGCATATTAGTTTTAGCATGGAGATCCTTGATGTACTTTGTTTTGAGTCCTGAGAAAGGAGCTATTGGACTGAGGGCAAGGGTCTAATTGGGAAATAGTCAAGATTGCTCAGTTGCTTGAGAGAACATAGGATCCAGCTCGTGAATGAGATGCTGAAATGGAGAGGAGGAGCTGCCTATGCTTTGATATGATGATATCATCCTTAGACACGAAAAAGTGTACAGTGCAGAGTTTGTGATAGTAAATAAATAAAGAAGGTTCACCTTCGCTGTCTTTAAAGCCAAATTGCATTAAAGCATTGCGTGTCTTTCAATCCAAGTCATTGGAGCTTGTAAGTTGAAAATTTTGGTTGTCTGTAAAAGGAGACTACGGGTAAGTTTAATTTTTTGGTGTTGTACAGAAACTGAGTATGTTCTCTCTTTTTGAATATCTTGCAGATAGTGGTTTCGTTGGCTGATGCATTAACTGAAATACAAGAACAAGTTTTGGTAGCTGATGATGTGGTATTTAATGCATATTGATGTGTACTCTATTTATACACTAATTAGTTAAATTACTACCTAATATATACTGTATTCAGGATAGTGACTGGGAAGAAGTTCGATCACATGGTAATGAAAATGATAGAGGATTTCTTTATTCAATGTCTTCATCTTCGGGAAAATCCACTGATGAACATCTCGAAGCAATGACAAAAGTATTTAATGAGGTTTGGTTGAGTTACAGTGGTTGTCAACTATGTTAATTTCTGTCCTATGCAATTATATCATACTTTATGCTGAAATTTATCTTGTTTTCCTAAACTTGCTTCAAAATTACAAGGATCGAGATGATCAGTATGAAGATGACCTTTTAAGTGTAGCTGATCCTCTCAATCAGGTCTGTCATCCGGAGTCTATTTTATTTATTCAATGTGATACTCTAACTTGCATATTTATTTGTTAACAATTTACAATTATGGTTGCAACTGACAGATAAATCTGGCAAATTACCTTGTTGATTTCTTTGTTAGCTTTTCTCAGTCTGACAGACAGCTCTTAGATCACATTTGCGAGGTTATCAGAGTAATATTTTTTATTTAGTTCACCTTATTGTACAGACGATTTTTACTTAACATGTGTTATGTATCTTGGCCTGCACTGCAGAGCTTGACTCGGTCTCAACGAAATGTCATTCAAATGATACTGAAGGGATGAGAATTTAGTGGGCAATCATCGAGTGTTGTCTCAAGGATGGATTGATAAAACTTCAAAGAATGAAACACAGATGGTTGGAAACCAATATTTTCCAATATTTAAGTTGGGGATGTCTGCAATTCTGAAAGGTGTTTTCCTTCTGCTGCAGTAGTGATGTTTTGCTTTTAGTTAGTCTCTGCCCATCTATAATTCACCATATCATTTGTTTGTATACCAACCTTGTTGTTTATTTAAAAAATGAAAGAAGAAACATCAGTTGGTAGCATAATGGTGCATTAGAATTTCATTTGGATTGGTTTCTTCTTGTTACTATTCCCTGTCAGAAAATTATTTCTATTTTCTGTTGGAAAATTGTTGCAGTCTAGAGTATACCCAGCATTTTAAAATCCTAAGTAGCTTTCATTAATGTGTTTTTAGAGTTCAACATCAAATGAATGAGTGATGGAATCAAATTCCTCTTGATGAACATGAGTTCATTTGCAAGAATCAATACATTCGTTGTGGTCTTAGAATAGCATAAAATAGTTTTTAGACGCACCAATTTCTCTTTACCCTCTCTATTAACACATTTATATTGTTGTCTATAAAAACTGTATTATAGGCATGGCAATAATCAATTTTGATGTACCCTATGTAAAGATTACTAGGTAAATAATTTCTATTTGACACTGCATCTTTCATGAATTACACTCATGCATCTATTTGATTATAGTATCCTAAAATCAATGTGTTACATATCAAAGTAGAAATAATAAAACCTTGTATCAATGATTGATAGGCCCTTGTAGGACCATTAATCCTAATACACCTGGTAGGACAGTGACTCTTGTTGAAACACAATCCAGATTTTCCTCTGAACCAAAGCTGAACTCACTACTTCTAATAGGACATTTATTTATGTTACAGCTGGGCACATATTTGCAATAAGAGTTGCATTTGCAATTTTTATTCTGGTTTGTATATATTTTTACTTTTTTTTCATATTTAACAATGTTAGTTGTTCATCTTAAAACATACTGAAATAAATTAAAAAAAAATAATATTATATTATAATAGTCATATTACATTTTGTTGAAAATTGGAGTATGACATTTTTATTATATTTTAATGGAAGTAAACTTCATCAATTCCGCTTATAAGTTATGCTATATTACCCCGATCAATGATTGTATATACAAAATTTGATCTAACTTAGAATTTTGTAAAAATAAAATAAAATAAAAATTATTTATTCATATATTTTTATAGAGATGGAGAGAGAAAAAGAAAAAGAAAACTAATAAGGTGTAAGTTTTATTTATAAAGAAAATTAATGATTAGATTAATAAATAATATTTATTATAAAAATATTAAAAGTAATAAAGTCAATATAGTCGCCCTATATTTAACGTTATTTAATATATTATAATATTAATTATTATGGTATGTGTGTAGTATAACAATGTATTATATCTTATAAATATAATAAATAATATATTGAATATTTGTACAAAATATGTATGCAGTGTTGATTATATTTTCCAATTATTTATGTAATTGTACTGCATACATATTACACAAAATATGTATGCAGTGTTGTTTATGCCAGTGAGCGGGTCCATTTTAAATACTATCGTAATTAAATTCGAATTCTGGGATCAATCCATCCTTGTCGCTTTTCCAGGAAAAGTCTAATTGATTGAGTGCAATTATAATCTCGATTTTGTCTGTGTGGATTTTATATTTAGATGTAAATTTTAAAATATTACTTTAAAAGTATTTATTTTTTTATATGACATAATATTATTTTTTTATAATTTATATTTTCATTTTATTTTTTTATTTATTTTTCACCTTTTTATCTTTTTAATATTTTTAATTAATCAACTTATTATATTTTTCATTTTTTTATTTTTATTTCTTTTATATTTTTATAATTTTTTAACCAATTTAATTTTTAATTTTTTAAACCAATTTAATATACATAAAATTAATTTTTCTTTTATTTTATCTTTCTTTAAATATTTTAGATCAATTTTAATAATAGTAAATATTATTTTATTTTTAATTTATTTTTATTGAGTTTTATTATATCTTATTTTTTATATTTTATTATTTCTATTTATTATATATTAAATTTTATTTAACAGAAGAAAAATTAAAAAAATGATTGTTAAAACTTTTATTATTTTGTATTAAATAAATAAAAATTAACTTATTAAATATTTTTTATTAATAAATAGTTTAAAAAATAATCAACTTATATATAATTAAATATTTGAATATAATATTATAATATTAATAATAATAAAATAAATATTTATATTTGTATAAAAAATATTAAATTTTTTATATATTTTTTTTAATTAAATATAATAAATTAAAGGTATTAGAATTTATTCTAGTAATGACAAAATATAAAAAATCCTCGTTAAATGATGGGTGTGATGAAAAATCTCTCAAAATAAAGAATGTAATGAAATATCTTCTAGATAAACATGTAAAATTCTAGTTGGATGAGAAAATGTGATGAAAAATCTTAGTAGTATAATGAAAAATCTCCCTAAAATGAGATATAATGAAATCTCACATTGAACACATTGAATAAATATATTATACCATTATAGTAAATAAGTTAGTATAATATTATTATATTTAACCGATTATGTAAAGATAACTCAAGTATTTCATAATTTTTAATATATATATATATATATATATATATATATATATATTTATTTTTATATAAAAATAATACATAAACAAATATTAAAATTATTTTATTATAAATATAATGATTTCTTAAAAAACAATATAAAATATAAATTAGAAATTCAATGAGAAGGAGGATTAAAATTTAATTTATAAACCTAACGGAAAGAAAAAGCGGTTAAGAAATTTATGGAAGAAAAAACCCACCTCACTCCGATGGAGACCTCAAAAAGCATTGATTCATTTTCTGGGTTGCTTTCTGACGTGGAATCAATGAATAGTTTGAAATGGAATGGAATTATTAAAGTAAGAAGTTTTTATGTTTAAATAATGAAATTCTAGTTTGAAATCGGAAAAAGAAGAAAACTAACTAAATGATTATACATAAACTAGTATTTTCTCAATTATTTGTTAGATAAGTGGTACTAATGTAAAATTCCTCTTCGAACCAAAAACATAAGCTTATAAATTATTGTTACAATGAGCGTAAAGCAGAAGCGATAAACATGATATTTGCACCATTTCCTCACTCCTCAGCGTAGCCACCATCTCTCACGGTCATCCTTTTTTACAGAACAAAACTGAAGCAGCAAAACCTCACCTCCATAATTGGTGACAGGCCCATATCTCATCACTCTGTTCTCTTGTTCTCCTTCTCCAACCCCAGAATCCACGTTTTGCTCTGAGCCAGAGCCTGAGCCTGGGACGAACTCCTCAGTTCTGCTCCAGTGTTTATGGGTGGCTCAGAATCATGAAGAGTGCAAAAGGGGCTGTAGATGATAAAATCTAAGACCCTTTTGAGATGGGTGTAAATTAAAGATAGGAAAGATAGATACTTGAGCATGTTGAAGGTTTAGGTCGTGCTTTTGCCCTGGCCAAAACTTTCAACCATGTCTCGTTGCTCCCCAACTTCAATGTCCACTAATTATGTTAAGATACATACAAATTCATGTTCGGTAAGACAGATAAATACTGTTTTCATACGGAAATACATCATCACCCCCGAAAACCAAAATCCAAATAATAAAAAATTACAAAAACAATGTTGGATAATGTAAATGTGAATTAAGTTTCACGTTAAAAAAATGAACGATGTATAAAAAAAATATGACTGGTAATCTAATATTTTAAAATTTGAATTAAGGGATAGTTTCAATCTTTTATATAAATTAAGTTTACGTGTGATTGTTTTTTCCAATCCAACAAATAATCATAACATTAATTTTAATTTAACGTACAAACTAGTATATGAGATACGAAAAATAAAAGTCAAATCAAATATATAAAAAAATATCTATAAGTAATCATTATAGAGAGTCAAATTTATAAGTAATACTTTCAAATTTAAAGAATAAAAAAAAACTTCGATAAGATATGAAAAAAAAGGTCAAATAAATACGTAAAAAATATCTAAAATAATCAGTGCATCAAAGTAATACTTTAAAATTTGATAAATAAATAAAAAAACATAAATTATAATAATGGTACGAAAGTCTTCAATAGAAATATTTTATATTGCTATTAGATATTGTTAAGATATTATTAGATATTATTAATTATAATATCTTAATAACATTTTTTGATTATTTTCAGTTATTTTATTTATTTTTTGTTACTCTTTTTTATATCTCTCTATTATAAATAAATTACCTTATTGTGGTTTATATATACAAGGGAGATTAATCTCAAATCCTATTTCCTCTATATTCAACATAGTATGCTAGAGCTTAAGGTTATCTTAAAATTTTTTTTCGCCTTTTGTCCACTGCTGAAGTCGCCCCACCGCTACTAGAGTCGCCCCACCACTGCTGGTAAACTGATCCTTCACATTAGAAATTTCTTTTCTGTTACTAAATGTTACTGAATTTTATTTGGTAGTATGAAAGTGCATGTCTAGGAAAATTCTAGCAAGGAAAGACTTGATATTTAAGTGTGTCCATTAGTGACCCAATTCTCTTTCACGAGAACTTACCTGGTGTATTGGTTCATGTTCTTGTCATCATCGCCACTTGGAGCGATCCACCGAATCCGCATTATAACTTAAGTGGTCTTTCAATGACTCTTATTGTTGTTGGAATACAATAAAATTGATTTGTTGTCACAATATAACTTAAGTGGTCTTTCAATGACTTTCACAATTTGCAGTCCTGTGACAAAATTTCTCAGCTATATTCCATGATTTGATGTCTTATAGCATGCTACAAATTCTACTCCCATAGTGGATGAAGCTGTAAGGGTTTGCTTGATATCGCACCAAGAAACCGCATCACCTGCCAACATGAAAATGTAACATGAAGTGGATTTCAAATGTTCTTGACATCCCGCAAAATCTGAGTCGGAAAACCTAGCAATCTCCAACCGGTCGACCTCACGTATGTGAGCATATAATCTTTTGTTCTCTTTAAATATTTCATGACCCTTTTGCTTGCTTTCTAGTGGTCCATTCCTGAATTGCTTAAATATCTGTCTAAAATTCCAACTATGTATGCTATGTCCGGACGCGTACATACTTAGACATACATCAAATTTCCTACAGCTGATGCATGGAGAATCTTCCGCATTTCCTCAATTTCCAAATTCCCTTTGGGCACTCGATAAAGACTAAACTTGTCTCCCTTAGTACTTGTTTCTCTAGTGGATCTCCGTAAAGATATTGACTCATGATGCACGGGTTCTTAAGGATCTTAAGGATATTGAGTTTGTTCTTTATGAACAACCAAATCATCTTGAGTAAGGGGTTCATCAACAATGCCTTGTAGAGATTCCGAACTTACTTTATAAAAAATAACTGTTTGAATTGATTCTGGAATTGTTACCAGTTCTTCCTCCAAGACAAAGTTCCTAATCTTACTCTTCCCCCAAACTCAATATCCTCAAAGAACGTAGCAGTTCCTGTCTCAAAATTGTCTTTAATGTAGGATAATAAAATTTATATCCCCTGAATCTTTCAGAATAACCAATAAGTAACTATTTACTATTTGGGAGTCCAACTTCTTTTCATTTGGCTTATAAGGCCTTGCCTTAGCTGGACAACCCCACACATGGAAATGCTTCAGACTAGGCTTTCGTCCAGTACTCCATAAGCTCATAAGGTGTTTTGGTAACTGCTTTAGTTGGTACTCTATTTAGAAAATAAATTTTCATCTTTAGTGCCTCTCCCCAGAGTGATTCTGGTAAGGTAAAATGATAAATCATACTCCTTATTATATCTTTAAGAGTGGAACAAAGGCCCAAGCGCCACGATTTGATTATGACCTGAGCACTTGTTCCATAATGCACCTGAGTGAGTATTTTCAATTTTACGTTTAGTACCCCATGATTCTGTATTAAGGATTTCATTATAGGTGGCCACAGTATTAAATAAATACAGATTATCATAAGCAATCAAGCAAATACAGATTATCATAAGCCAAAAGTGAACCAGTTCCAACAATATTTGAATTAAAAGATAAATTGAACTTATTGTTTCCAAATGAACACAAATAACCTAATTTGTCCAAATAAGAAACTGAAACCAAATTCCGTCTAAATGACAGCACGACAAAAGTGTCCAAATACACACTAATAATCTAGAATGCCCAACAGCCTCCACCTCCACCGATTTGTCATCTCCAATGAATATTGTTAAGTGGTAAAAAATTGATATAATTATGTCTTAAATTGTTATGAAACCACTTACCTTATGTTAATTCTAATATATTTTTCTCCCAATATAGGATAAATTCGAGAATACCTTGATACAAGAGTAAGGAGCACAATTGTCAGCATAATTGGAGTAAAATTAAAAGAAAGAAGAACGCTTAAGCGAATGAATGATGCGAGGTCCGACCCAAATTCTCTTATAAAAAGATAAGTTGTGTTTTGAGAAAAGCAAGTAGTCTTATAAGAGAGGAGGCACGACTACTATTAGAGTTTTGTCTAATCTTCATCAATTCTTCACTTCTTCATCAATTGGAGCGTTGTAATGGCCAACATGAGTGGCTAACTTCATTCTCTTAGGATTCGATGCACTTCCTTTGAACTCTTTTGTATCATGGTGATATTTTGAGATCTTAATCTATGCTTTGATGTTGTTATTCTTATCCTTTATGCTTTGAAATGATTTATTCTTGATTGTTTGAGGTATGATTGGAAAATATATCTTGAACCCTAGATCACGGTAAGAATATTTGTTACGTTAATTACCAGGAATTGAATGAATGTATCAATTGCTTAACACCACTAACCCTAATGCTAGAAAATTTGTTAATTGTGTGAGGAATCAACATTTATTAGGTTTTCTTATGAATTTTATGTGTGAGGAATCAACATGGATGATTTGAGTAGGTGGCATCAACATTGTTAGGTTAATTGACGTTCTTAATTGACATAGTCATTACAAAAGAGGGATAAGGAAGGAAATCAATCCTAAGTACCTTTAATTGATATTTTCTCATCAATTTACGGTTCTTTGTCATTTAATTTCAATTCAAATCTTATTTGCAAAACCCAATCTGTTTTAATCTATTTAGTAAGCATAATTGGAAATTTCCATTGAAACCGTTCCTCGTGAGATCGACTTTTATTTAATCGAAATACTATACTGCGATTGATAATTTTAGTACGCTTGTCAATAATTCAACAAATATCAATCTCTTAGAATCAGTTATCTTCCGGTAGTTTAGACAATCCTTTCTTTTCACGCCAAGCATAATATTTAACACATTTCTTCTTTACGTGTCCAGTCTTATTGCAAAAGAAACATTTGTTTTCCTGAGTTTGTTTCTTTTGTTCTGGACCCTTAACAACTTCCTTCTCGAGATCCTCTGATTTCTTTCTTTTGCCCTTAGCCTTGGAGGTGCTTGCAAAATGAGCACTTTCTGTCTTGTCTTGCTTTAGTCTTTCCTCTTCTTGTACGCAATGTGAAATGAGTTCATTAAGAGACCATTTATCCTTCTGACAGTTGTAGGATACCTTAAATTGATTAAATATTGTGGGAAGAGAAATCAACACTAAATGAATGAGAAAGTCTTCTAAGAGTTCAAGCTTTAGTGCCTTGAGTTTAAAAACAATATTAGACATCATAATGTACTCCCTGATATTTTCTTTGCCCTAATATTTTATGGAGATCAAGTTCTGAAGAAGAGTGTTTGCCTCCATCTTATCGCTTTTTGCAAAGCGTTGTTCAATATCAACAAGGAATTCTTTGGCACTTGTGATATTTTCAGAAACAGTGCCCCTAAACACCTCGAGATGCACGTTTAATGATCATTACGCTCATGTGATTTGTGCGATCTCACTTCTCATAATCTCTCTTTTATTCAGAGGTACTAGAATATGTAAGAGTAGGGGAGTAGGGGGTTGCTTAGTCCTTAACGCAATATCTATATCCATGAAGCAAGAATAATATCAATGTTTTATTTCCGAGTCCTTAAAATTTGTCCCATTGAGGATCAGAACAAAATTTAAATTGGCGGATACAGAAGCAATTGTAACTGGATTAGAACAAAAGATATAAACTAATTATGCTCACATTATAAAAATAATTAATTATAAATATTTAAATAATAGTTTAACTCATCTCAAGACACCGATGCACCATTAATATCAAGTCTTTGAACAGGTAATATTAAGCTGCTAGGGGTATCTCGTTGTAGTGATCAAACATTGATGATAAAGTCGTCTAACAACAAACCAATATTTGAATTGATTTATCATCGACAAAACAAATTCTTATAATTATCACATATTTATCATTACAAGTGTGTATGCAATCCGGTCAAATATTAATCTTCCTTTAGGCTGACTAATACTCGCATGAATATACATAAATACTAATATTCAATATTTTTCATGAACTATCCAATTCAATAAAGATTACTTTGATGACTTCTTGACTCAATTTGATCACAAAAAATATTAAACTACCAAAAAATTTAATATTTTATTTATATAACAAAACCAACTATTTATAATTCTAATGAACAAAAATTTGCAAGGGTCTTAGTTTAATGCACGAGTGCAAACCCGTGATCAAATTTCTAACCCCGGCCTTATCCAATTGCGCAAGTTCAGCCTTCAATTGTTCAATCTTGAGACCCGTGACCTTTGCAAAACCCCTCTTTCTTTCTCTGGCAACTTGGCCAATAATTCCTTCATATCTTATAATCCATGGGTTTTTCCAATGTTTTATAGTGTAAAGCATCGATCAGTAGTCGACACAGAAAGTTGCCACCCAACTAAGTAACATGAAATGTAAATGATTTGCTGTTGGAAGAAACGACCTCAGGTCCATAAGCTTCAACAAAAGCAGTGATGATTTCATTCTTTCTAGCGCTAGCTATAAGCAAATCATACTCTGTGGGAATCATAACCACAAGAAAGTTGTCACTTAGTTCACTGACACAAATCTTCTCAATAGCTGCAAGGGTTGTCCTTCGTTTAAGGGAATCAGACTCAGGTTCAATGAGGTAAATCGCAAAATCCGTAATCATTAGATATCAGTGTTTCATCTTCCCAGAACCAGTGAACTTCAAAACTTTATCTACAAATAAAACGTTCAGGCACATGAACAGCGTGTTTCTTGCCCTCCGCGAACTCATAAAGATTGTTGGTGGAAGACCTTCATCTTGGGCGGTTGCCGACGACAGGCGTGGATCCACCTCTTGCTCTCTTGCTGCTCTTCATTATTTTTATTTTTATTTTTTATTTTTGTTCGGACTTGTGTGATCAGCTACCAGAAACAAATTGCGAAATTTTACCGCAAAATTCAAAATTAGGTTTAAAAATTTAGAATTTACCCCTAAATTTAAATTTAGGATTTAAAAAAAATGAAGATTATTCTCTATCTAGGATTCTGAATTTTATTACATATAATTTCTAAAGATAAATATGAATCAAGTATTCTAATAACATTATTGGATTCTGAATTTTATTACATATAATTTCTAAAGATAAATATGAATCAAGTATTCTAATAACATTATTGGAAAACTATAATTATGATCTATATTTTTTTGTAATAGTCAAACATAAACATTATTTCATATTTATAGTCATGTTGTAAATTGAATGCGAAAACATATCTGAATTAGTCATAATGATGATGTTTCTTTTAGAGCACTATTAATCTTTTGGTCTTCCTCATGAAGAAGATTTGTATTTCATTTTGGATTTTCTCTCTTGATAGGGATAGAAAAAAAAACGAGAATTGAGACTTACATTCTGTGTATGTGCTCTCAAAAGGGGATCATGACCTTTTAGATAACCAGAATTAGGTTAATTACTTAAGTTTTAGTATTTCTAATTTTGCCCTTCATCAAATTAGAAATTACTCTATGGTCTCTACACAATTTTATTTTCATGACATATACTTTTAGCAAAAACTTTAATTTAGTCAAATCACTTTATTATTTGACTTAATAAATAATGACCCTAACACATTTAAATTATGTATCATATATATACATGACCCAAAATTGCCAACAATGCCTAGTTGGAGTATCAATTTTGATATGGTTAGGTGATTGGTTATAGTTACGTGACATATTTGTCACGTCACATTAAAATTGCAAGAAAAAAGGAATAGGGGTCGCGGATGTGTTTAGGATTTGGACAATTGAGAGTTTGTGCAAATGGGTGAGGGAAAGTGAGAGGATCTGCAACGATAGGGAAATGACTTACGCTTCCAAATAGCAATTCAAGTACCAGTGAGCTAACCACATTGACAACTTGGAAAATGGCTTCGCTTCCAAACGATGCCTTGCTTGAAATGGTGGTTGACGACATCTTCCTTCAAAGATCAATTACACAACCTACAACCTAAATATCAACTACAATAAATCAAAGATAAATATAGAAAAATGTATAAAGGGACAAAATGGAATCAACTCGCACCCTCGTTGTTGTAGTGGCAAACCCAAAATGGAATCACGCTCCTCCTCCTTCGTCACAAATGAAACTCGTACCTCTACGACAACATTGCAGATACTCACGCTTTTCCTAACCCATTTGCACACACTCTCAATTGTTCATACCCTAAACATATCCGCGACCACTATTCATTTCTTCTTGCAATTTTAATGTGACGTGGTAAATCTGCCACGTAACTATAATCAATCATCTAACCATATCGGAACCGATACTCCAACTAGACATCTAATATAACAGATCAAAACATAAATAACGATAGATTCAAAATTGACATCAATTTCAATATTTATGTCTAAATTGAAAATTTTAAAATTTTTGGGACCACATTAAAATATTTTAATAAATAAAAGGACTAAATTACCTATTTAACCTATATTAAATAACCATATAAAGTTTTCCTAACTCAATTGAAATTCCTATCTAATTTAATAAGCAACATAAAAATAATAAATGGGTCAATTTTATCTCATATTACTATCTTGAATTACTTTTTATCTATTTCCAAACACGATGACAAAAACTTTTTTTTTTTAATGTGATTATGATTTCTTTTGCAACTAGTGTTTTTTTTTAAATAAATAATGTAATTAAGCATGTCTTTAGGTCTGTTAGTTTTTTTAACTATATCAAGAATGTTATATTATATTTTCAATTTATTCTTTTTAAGTAAAATTGTGTCCAATGGTTGAATTGTTAATTTGTTCATTTAAAGTGCATGCATATTTCAGTTTAATCTTAAAATTTAAATAAATTAAAATAAAGTCTTTAAAGATAATTTTTTTTATTTCTTGAAATTTTTTTGTGTAAATTTTTACCAAAGTATAATTTAATCCTTTTAGTCATAAAGGAATCAATTTAAAATAAAAAATAAATTTTACTTCAACTGATTATTTATCTATTAAACACTAACTAAAAAAATACCATTCAACCAATAATTTTGGATAACTTTGTTAAAAAATAAAATAAAATCATGCATTAATTTATTAATTTTTTATTTAGAAATATCTTTACTCTATTGAAAAACCAAATAATGTAATTATCTTTTCATGGGTTAACCCTGACAAATGAACAAATATACATAATGTAGTCTAATGCTCATGAAAGTAACATGCAACTTCTGATTTAAAATTAAATAAATAATATGTAAATTTGTTTAAAAAAATTTACCTTAGCTAGAGTTATGTTGCATAACACTTTTATACAAAGTTATAATTGAAGTTGTATTACCTAAACCAATTTTATTTTTTAAAAAAACTATAAGCTAAAAGAAAAATACTACGAGTTACTGATTTTTTAATTTTTTTTTTTGAAAAAAGAAAACAAACATAAAGTTGTATTTGACTGTATGATTTATTTAAATAAATAAAAAAATGTCCGGAGGTATAAAAAAAGTGTACTAAGATAATCCCATCATTTAAAAGTGGAGTTTGTAATCATTTTAGTAGTGGTAACTCATTTATACGTTTTTGTCAAAATATTTCTGTCCAAAACTTTGGTTGTTAAAGTGTGCTCGATGTCCATTATTAGGTTAACTGTGATCCGTGCAAAACAATATTGCCCACTCAATTCGTATCTTATCCTCTTCTGTTCTATCTCAATCAATATCAGTGAATATTTTTAAATATTTCTGTTCAATTTATAATATTTTAATATTATGAATTCACTTTTTTTTTTCAAAATTCACTTTTAAAAGTTAAATGTGATAGGAAGTTATTTACTTTTTGTCAACATTCTTCCTTAATCTCAAAATGTATTATTAAGGTTTGATTTGCTATTTTAAATCCTTACTCTCTCATATTTTGATAATGTAGTATGTTATAGAAAAAAAAGATTTATGATGAAAATATGGAGTATCTATGATATTTATAAAGTTATGTTCATCATAGAGTTTTAGAACCGTGAAAAATAAATGGGAAAAAATTTCACATAATTATTTTGATAACGAGTGCAAATATATATTCTAGTTGTGTAGATTTAGTTATTAGGTGGGTTATCTGTTATTTTATTGGGTAAATTATTATACTCGCGTCCCTAAAAAATAGAAATTATGGTTATTATTCTCCTACTTGATCCATTTTTTTAATTAACCATCTCAACAAGAAACTAAATATATAAATAATGATGATGAGTCCTCTAACAATAATGATCATCTCCTATGTATTACAATATATTAAGTTTCTCATCAATGACTCTTAATTATAATGAAAAAATCATATACTTATTTTTCGTCAAATTAAATAAAATTCCTCAAAATAAATATATATGTGCACAATAGATAAATAAAAACATTAAAATGAAAAAGAGTTTTATCATAGTAAAATAAATTACTGCCACAACATGTAATTAAGTCTAATTTATGTTATATGATCCTTAAAATTTTTTGGTAGCATGTCTTTAGTCAAAAGAATGAATAATCATCAACTCAGTATTAACATGATCAATGATAAATTTCTTTTTCTTACTAATTATGACTAGATATTTAATATTGATGTGCTTATTTTGACTTCTACTTTATTATTCTTACCCATAAATATCGTAACAAAGTAATCACAATATAACTTTAATGACTTAACAATTAAATTTACCCATATACACTATATGATGTAGTCTCAAAACAAGACACGAATTTAGCCTCCATGGTAAAAGTGACACTCAATGTCTACTTTTTACTATTCCAAGATATAACTAATTACCTTTTTTTCAACTTTTCAATGGTAAACAATTAGATTACTCTAATATCTTTCCAAAATGTAATGTTAGGTTTTGTGCAAACCTAAGCATACATAAGACTTCCAATAACTGAAGCATATGAAAATTTTTTATCTATTCCTGCTCAAGATCATTTTTCAGGTATTGAACCAATTCAAGTTCATTACCCTTCGTTTGTAATGAGACCTACACTCAGTGAACAATTTTTTCATGTTAAGCCTCTTTAAAACTGTGTTAATATAGGTATCTTGAGATAAACTGACAATACCGAGAGATTTTTCTCTATGGATCTTAATGCCTATGACATAATAAGATATTTCACCCATATCTTTCATATCAAAATTCTTTGAAAGAAATTATTTCATCTCATGTAACATTCCCTTATCATTAGTTATAAACAAAACATCATCCACATATAAAACAAAAAAAACAAATCTTTCTCCCACTAACCTTCTAATATATACATTGATCGATAATATTCTCTTCAATTCCAAATAAAGAGATAACTTAATGAAATTTTAAATATCATTGGCATGAAGTTTTTTTTAATCTATATATGGATTTATTAAGCTTACAAACTAAGTGTTCGCTATCACTAGAGAAGATTCATTCAAGTTGTTTCATGTAGACCTCTTCCTCTAGATTTCCATTAAGGAAAGTCTTTTATACATCTATTTGATATAACTCAATCAAAATGAGCTACTAATATTGTAATTTTTCGTAAAGAATCCTTTTTAGACACAAGAGAAAATATCTCTTTGTAATGTATTCATTATCTTTGAGTGAATCCTTTAGCAACAAATCTTGTTTTATGTCTCTCAATGTTACCTTGTGAGTCTTTCTTAATTTAAAAGACTCATCTACATCCAATGGATTTTACACCATTAGATAACTTTACAATATTAGACATCATTAAATTCATATTATCTTTGGCGTTATACCACAAACTTAGTTCCTTAGAACTCATAGCTTGTGAAAATATTTTAGGATAATTGTTTGCTCTAATGTTATAATCTTTATTCCTATAAATACATTTCATAATCACTAAAATTAATGATCTTTTGATTTTTGTAGATCTTTTTAATGTTTTCTCATTATCTTTATGAGAAACTTGTTATGCAATTGGTTGCTTAACAGGTTGTCCAGCATTCATTTGTTGTTCCTCATCAACAACTTGTGAAACTTGAATCACTAGTTATCAACATGCTCTTGAGCTAGAGGAACATGAATAACTTTTAATCTATCATTTGATTGAGAGGGTTGAACTTTATAGTGATCCTTTTCAAAACTAATATTTTAAATTAAATCATTTTCACTAATTAAGTCATTCTAAGAAAACTTTGCATTTCTTGATTCCATAATTCTAGTGCTATGAGATGGACAATAGAATTTATATCCTACACTTTTCAAGCATATCCAATGAAATATCCATAATAGTCTTAGATTTTCAAAATGCGTATATGTTGTAAAATTAGGTTTTCAACCTTTAAATAACTCATAAGGTATCTTTAAACAACCTTAGTTGGAACTCAATTCACTATATACATAGTTGTCTTAAGTGATTCAATCCACAAGTATCGATTCATGTTTTTCACCATACTCATTAAAGTTCAATTTCTTTTTTCTGTCACACCATTCTAAACTCGGAGAATCAAACATAGTGTATTAGGTAACAATCCTATTTTCTTGAGGAAATTTCACAAATGAACTATACGCTTGTTTATTCTCTTTGTATCTACTATAATAATCTTTACCTCTATCTGATCTATCATCTTAATTTATTTTGTACATTATAACTATTTTTAGCCTTAAAAACTTTAAAGTCATCTAAAGATTCATCCTTAGAACGAAGTAAGTAGAGATAATCACCTATAAAAGTGATAAAGTATCTCAAACTACTTGCATCTATATCTCGGACAACATATATCCGTATGAATAATTTTAATAAGTTTGAACTCCTCATGGCATCATTTTAGGACTTATTAGTTCACTTACCCTTAATGCAATCCACACAGGTCTCAAATTTGGTAAAATCCAAAGTATTAAATACTTCATCATTTACTAATCATTTGATATGTTCTAA